TATTAATATAAAAACATATTTTGTATTATATTATCAGATAGTAGTAATAAATGTATATAAAAATTATATAAACGTATTGGTTCATACTATTATTTCTAATATTTTTATTGATAATTGTTATGAAAGTCTTTTGAAATTAATTGCTGTTATTATTGGATTTTTATATGAAATTTTGTATTGATTAAATAAACCTGATGATAATATTCATATGAAAAAAAAATCAAATATTATTGGAAAAAGTATTTTTGTTTTTTTGTTCGCATTCATCTGGAAAATAATATAATATTTTAAATAAATTTATACGATATTGTATATAATCTATTAATTGTTCATTGATTCCGTTATTTTTTCTTATTTAAAATTTTCAATATATTTATTTATTTGTTTAATTGATTTTAATTCATTACATTGTTTTATTAATTGAAATTTTTTATTAATTATTGACCAAAAATATGTATGACCGAATATACCAAGTAAATAATACATTAATAAATCAAATAAAGATAATTGATTATTTAACAAAATAAAATTAACAGATAATTTTTGTACGATATTCATATAGATTTAATGGAGATTGTTCACATTGAAGACAATTTAATATAACATGACTTTTCTTTATTTTATCAAATATAAAGGATAAAAGAATATAAAGTGATAATAAACGTATATTTGAATATAAATGATGATAAATTAATTTTTTAATAAATCAATAAATTAATCAAGATAATAGATAAAGTTCACATTGAAATTCGTTTTTAAGAATAGAATACCAAAATGTTGTAGAAAATTTTTAATTATCAAATATTAATTCTAGAAGAGTCAATGTTATTATTGATGATGATAATGGTTCATTAAGAAGTTGTGTAGACAATTTTTCCAGATGCATATGTCGTATCGAAGTTACACCGGTCGACGAAGTTATAACTTCGTCAACATTCTTGACGAAGTTATAACTTCGTCGATCGATATTGACGAAGTTACAACTTCGACAGAGAAACTTGTCGAAGTTATTTTGAATTCACTTATCAATAAATAATTTATTGAACTGAGTATTCTACTGTTGAATATATGATCAAA